ACACACACACACACACACACACACACACACAGCTTGCTGTGTACAGCTCTTATTCCAAGAGAAAAGGGATTCTGGAAAAAAAAATACTCATAAGCAGATCTTGCATCTGACCTGAAAATCCCATGATTTGATTGATCTTAATGCCCATGGCTCTGAATATGATAATTTTAATATTAATGAGCAAATGAGCAGTTTTATTATGCATGCTATAGAGTTAGAACTAATAAGCTTCTGGGTGAGAGAAAAGAGAGAAAGGAAAAGTGGAATGGGGGGGTGGTGGGGGTGCAGATCCCTCTTTTGAGCTGATGAGACCAAGCTGAGATATTAAACTACCTTTCATTTATTTCTCTCTCTTCTCTTGCCCCCCCTCCCTCCGACACATTCTCTCTGTTAATCAAATGACAAGCCCATCGCTGATCATCCCACTAATGCTTACAAAGGGAATCGCGGTGCTGTAGATGTAAATAGATCACCTTGGTTATTGTGCAAGGCGGGAGACATGAGGGGAAGAGATTTCTAAAGTCACTGTGACATCACTGCCGGGAACAATGGGAGCGGCGTTTCAAGTGGTACTGGTTGAAAACGGGAAGCTGTGATGTTTTTTCTGAGGCGCCAAAAAAAAAAAAGAAAAAGAAAAGAAGCCACTATCTTGTCACAACATTATTACACAGTGAAACGCCGCGCGTACAGTAGCTAACAAACTGGAAAGGGGGCACCGGTCTTTTTTTTTTTTTTTTCCGCCTCTCGAGTTGGTGATCACACACACCCATGTGCTCATTTGCATCCCAAATCCAAATTAATTCACTTTGCTAAATCTAGTGTCGCGACATGTCTTGCATGCTGATGAGCGGCTGCTTCGGTTTCCCCTCCAGTGCTCCGTGCAGCCGCAAAGGCTAAAAGGCAGAGAAACAGATGCAGGGGGGATGAAACGCTGAACGCACGGCGATTTTTGTCCCAAATTTTCCCTAGCTTTCACCATCTTACTGCAGGCAGACGCTGCCACAAAGTTGTAGAGACGGACATACAAATGGGTGCTTTTGTGTCGGTAAAGAGCGCTCCCTCCACGACAGGCCCGTTTTCACYCCCCACCGCTTTAGTTCCACCTCCTTAACCCTGCTTTTTGGAAACGGTTTATGTATCTGTGTGTGGACATGTGAGCCTCTGCCAACCTCTTCACACAACTGAGAAAGCTGGTTAACAGGCAAACAGCCATCTTTCCTCGCAATTAACCGATGACGTGCGAGAGAAGGCGGATTCAGCACCAGGAGGGGAGGGGTGTATCTCTTTAACAAAAGGTGCTGATGATGGAGTGGCTGCTGTATAATTAGTGCGTCAGAGCCCTCTCCTCTCCTCGCCAAGACTCCCCTATTAATTGCAGCAAATTAGAAAACGATATCTGAGAGGGGGGGTGATTCTTTCAGCTGTCATTTCCAAACAAAAAAAAAGGGTGGAAAATAAATAAGAGAATAGAATGAGCTCTATTGAGGAGACCAGTTATTTTTGTTGAGTAAATATATGCTTTCAGGTTTCAGGCGAGCTTACCTTCCAAGTTGCGGCGTTGCGTCTGAAGTAGGCGAACGTGCGCGTGAACCAGCTGTAGATTTCGTTAAGCGTTAACTGCATGTCGGCAGAGTCCATGATGGCCTGAAACGAGATGGCGACCGAGGTTTTTTTTACTAACGAGGCGCTGACACGGGCAGGACGGCGGAGAGGGAGAGCCGCCATGATTCCTGCAGCAATTAATTTGAATCTAATCAGGCAAAGTTAATTTATTTCCCACTCACCTGTCTTATGAGGGTTGCATAAGTAAACGGTGGTCTGACATCTGCGTTCTTATAAAACTCGTAGTTTGGGGCAATCTCTGGAAAAATAAATACTGTGTCACCACCTGAAATAATTGGTAAATTTTATTCCTTTAGGTATTGAATTTGCTCAAGGTTTCATCAAATTAAAATAAGAGGGGGGTGGGGGTGGGGGGGTCAAAGAGGAAGAAAAGGGGGGAGAACATCAAATCAGCACTTTCCATGTCTAACAAAATGCATTTTTAATTAATCTCTCTCGTGAGAGATATTAAACACTTTTACTTCCATATATGAGACGTGTGTAGTTAGTTAGGGCCAGGCTGAATAATTGATGCTGCTTCACACTAAACACGGCGAGTAAATATAAACATCAAAGACGGCCCCGTTTAAAATGCAAAGCTTAATACATGGGATGTCTTCATGTAATAAATATTGTATTTTTTTTTCACCATTATTTGAACTTAATTAACATTCATGCAATATTTATGCACGCAGGAAGTTCTTGTCTGTTTACATATCGAGTGATTAAATACAGACTTTTCACACTGGTAAGACCAACAAGCCTCTGTGAATGTGTGGGTATGTTGTGCAGAGAGGATGTGGATGTGTGTGTGTGTGTGTGTGTAGGCTATTCTGAGTTAAGTGCTATTAATCGTCTAGTGCTCAGGATTGAGGTATCACTGTAATTTGCTATTTTAGCATTCATTAAATTTTAATAGAAGCTCTCCTAAAATGAAGGAAAAATGTATTTTTTTCAGTCAAATGCAACACAAACCAATATGTTAAACCCTAAAGCTAAAATTCTCATTATATATAAATGTTTTTTAAAAGTGAATTGATTTGTTTAAAAGTGTGTGTGGAGGTGTGTGGTGTGAAGTGCTGAGTAGTTGGTCCTACCCGACGACAAAGGCATGGAGTATTTGTCCGAGTGGCGTCGGCGCATGGCTCCCATGCTGGGGACGTTGGCTCCGCCCAGTACTGACGGCACCTGTGGCATGGCAGCCATGGGTGTGATGGGGGCCGTGGGCGTGGTGGGGGTCTGAGGTAAGTTGGGGGGCGACGCTGAGGGCAGGTTCTTGGACATGGTGACGCTGGACACCAAGTTGAGCTGCAGGGAGAGGAGGAGAGGCCTGAGTCACGGAGACACGAGCGAGCTCCGTGTGGAGGAGGAGGACGGCGTTAGCTTGTGGTTTCTCTGACAGAGCCGAGTGTGTGCGCTCCCTCCTCTCCAACACAGCTGTGTTTCCACTAACAAGGCTCGTGGAGAGGAGCCAGCCCATCTCCACTAATTACAACCACCAAATTGTATCATAAGAATTCTAATTAGAGCACGCTGTTCAAGATTATCCAACGATCAGCCTCCGTGTTATCCCAGCCCCATCTCTCTTTATCTCTCTATTTATCACACCCTCCCTTCCCTCTCTCACTCCCTGCCTCCCTCCCTCTTTATCTACCCCACTACAAACACTCAGCATTCTTACACGCTAGAGAAACAAGACCCTAAAACTCTTGCCTTTTGCCGTGACCCTGCTCACGCGGTTTATCTGACCCTGTTGAATTTAAAGCTCTTTTATACGAGTTACACTGTCAAAAGAATAAATAGGAAATCCAAACTGTTTGTAGAAAACCACCACAATATACAGTTTTGTATAATTCTAAATGAAAGCTATGGATGGAGGAGTAAAATTAACAGAATTTAAATTTTGCTACAACTACAGCAATCAGTCGTTTCTCTTTAAATTGTTAGAAGATATGAACACTTTTGTTCAGACACCCACAGGTGCTCCCAAATTTTCTAAAGTGAAGTTAAAGTTTTTGCTCCTCCATTTGAAAACATCAGCACACAGTGTTCATTGATACTAATTTTYCTCTCTTATCAGCTCAGAGAGAAGAAAAACTTAGCTTTTTGTCTTAACCTTAAAATTGTGCTGAATCTTTTCTACGATTCAAACAGATTAAGACATTTGAGGCTTCATATTTAAATAAATCAGGTGTCTTATCAGAGTTTATTAAAAAAAAGAACAGAACTTTAATGGGATTTGAACCCTGGCCTCCTGCATGAAAGGTTGTTGCAATTTTCATTACATCGACCAGGAACACCTTGGTAGGGGGGCTATTTTTTTGATATTTTTCATCTAAACACCCTGGGTGCTTAGATTTTTCAATCCATGACCTTCATCCTTCATTTTATTACATAATTAGGCACTCATACTGATACCTAATGTTATTGAATTCAAGATGCAGTAAAAAGGAAGAAATGTACATAGATTTTACAGAGAGGTAAGAGTGACCACAAAGTCTAGACTACAAGTTTTCAGATTTATTTTCTCTTTCTGTTTGATTGGAAAGAACTATGTTTTTAAGAGGCTGACTGTAAACAATTTCCTTAGTGGTGAACACAAAGCTCCAACAGATTTATAAAATCTTAAAAAAAACTTGTTGTGCCATTGCTTTGATGTGAGGATTCAGTCACCTCCTCCAGAAGAGAACTTTGCTGGGAGGCTGCAGTGTGACTTCCACTAGTGAAAGCTCAAAAAAGTTCATGAAGGAAATCYGCACAGACACAAAAACACTCCCTCTACACCGAATCTTCATCTCTGCCGCTCCACATCCTGCCGGTTGTCCAGCTTCTCCCGCCGTTTCTGCGTTTGCCGCCCAAATCTCATGTGAGAGGCTCTAACCGACTGGAAAATTCCTAACTGACCTTTTTAGTCTCTGCGCTAATTTGGYCGGAACGGTAAAGACATCGTTACATATTCAAGCCAAATTGCCTTAATTGTGAGTCTACGAGTGAGATGCATCTGAAGCAGGAGTTTGGATTTAAGTCGACTTGAGAGACGGGGAGGCGCTCAGAAGTGGAGGAGCAGAGCTGAGGAGGAGGTGTTGAGTTGATAGATATGATCAAATGTCAAGTTTGAGAGACTGGTTGATGGAGAGATGTTCAGATGATAATTAAGGATTAAATCAGCTGTAATGAGCAGCTCCAGAACTGGACCTCCGCTGAGGACAGGTCTCCATAATGTCTTGAGCCRTTTTTTCAAAATGTTAAAAAAAACTTCTCTCAAAACAATCACAGTCATTGGGCCTCATGCAAGAACCGTTGGTACACACAGATTTGTTCTTAAGTTGTGCGTACGAGTGATGTAGGAGAATTTGTGGCATTCACCAATGTTTTCGTATTCTAAGTTTTTTCAGATACGAACAAAATTCACGAGTGGTCCAGACCTGTGGTATATTTTACCAGCAGTCAGTCTGCTGTTATCCAGGCGGATTTTATTCACTAATAACTTTATATTTCATTAGTTTGAAGATATTTTGAGTTGAAAATAAATTACACTCCATAATTATGTTGATAATAGGCTATTCTTCTTGAATTAGAGTTATAATTTTAAATGTAATAATTTAGACTAACAATATAAATTGTCCGTCCGTTTTCTGCTGATTATCCGGGATCGGGTCGCGGGGGCAGCAGGAGAGAGACCCAGACTTCCTCTCCCCAGCGACACTCTCCAATTACACTCTGGGGGACTCCGAGACGTTCCCAGGCCAGAGGGGACACATAATCCCTCCAGCAAGTCCTGGATTGTCTCCAAAGTGCCAGACTTATTTTGAAAACATTTTAAAATGCTTATTTCAGAACCGCAACTGAGATAACTTGCGACCGCGTGGTGGGGGTACGGTGCGCGACGATGTGCTTCTGAATACATGAAAATGATTTAACACAGTTGTTTATACTTTTAGCAGCTCTTTTTATTCCACAGCTGACCTGCTAAAAATGACAGATTTTCTTTTCTGGATCTCTGACAGACGGACTTYAATCTCTGAACTTGTAAAGTTTTTCTTTTTAGTTTTCGCTGAGATTTTCATGAATGGACACTTCCTGATATCTGAGGCAGGAAACACAGCCTTATATGGTGTTTTTGGGGTGGTAATTATGCTAATCTCCTCTCGCGTGCACGAGCAGCTGGATACGAACAGGTGGAATTTACGCAGCTCATTTACACACTTTTCCTGAAGATAGAAGAGTTTGTTGAATCTGACGTGACATGTTCGTACGAACCCTTTGTACGAACAAAAGTAAGAGAAATTTAGGATAAGAATACGAACATGTTCTTGCATGAGGCCCATTGTGAGTGTCTCAAACTTGTCTTGAACCTTTTTTAATTTTGTCCCAACCTGCTTCGTTTCAGCAGTCTACTCCAGTAGAAGAAAATAAAAGACATGGGGGTGATTGCCAAGGTGCAATAATAAAAATATAATATAATAAAATAATGTGCATGGTCTAGAACACAGTTTTGTTAGCTGTGCACACAAAAATAAACTGATTATGAACAAACTTATTGAACAAAATGAAGCTGGTCAATCGGTCCCAAATGTTTCAAATTTAAATATTTGAATTTCGCACATTTTCTCGCACTATTGAGCCWAGTTCTCCAACAGTCACAGCTCAGTGAGATTCTACTAATCAAATCTTAAAAAGCTAAGTGTGCCGTAGCCAATCGGATTCTTTGTTGTCCTCTTACATGCCCTCTTACGGGGATGTACAATTAGAACGTTAAAACATAAATCTTCATCTCACCTCCCTTGATAAAGTGGGGAAGCCTTAAAACTGAGGACTTAACTGTTCGTTTAGGAATTCTGTCTGAATTGCCCCCACCATCAAATGCAATTAGCTGCTCTTTCATGTGAGCTTTATGTAATGCAATACTTCATTAGCATCATTCATTCACATTCAGCCACGGATTATAGGCTGCAAATTCTTTATTGGACGAGATGGAACCAAGCTGCTGGAGTTTGAAGGATGGCGAAAAAAAAGATACATAAAGGGAGAGTGGAAAAAAAAAAAAGATTAAATCATAAGAAGGGTTTGATTCCTGATGGAATTATGGAATAATTATGCTATCTTGTCTGCATTCTGTGATGAGAGGTGATTGGGAAAATTATTCTATTGAAAATAGGCACTTACTATGCGGCAGAAAGACGCTAACTATGTTTTGCTAATATTTCGAAACGTCCAAGACTTGGAGGGGGAAGATTGTTTGCCGAAAATGTATAATCTTGATGTCAAATTCAAATACAGCTTGAAGCGTAATCATTCCATCGAAAAGTGGAAAGCAAACGACCAAAAATGCAGTTTTTTTCCCCCGGTGACCCCTTTCAGTTTTTGTCTTCTACTTTAGTGGCCAATTTCAGCTCCGCCGTGTGCATTCACGTCAACATCCCACTGTCTTGGCCGGCGAGCTGTCATTTTCAGCTGTTTGTTGTTAAAATGACACATCTTCTCCTCTGTCATTCCACTTCTGAGTGCCGCTGTGGCCACTGAGCCAAACAGTCATCAGCAGCCAACAGGTTGTTTTGGCTATTATATCTATCACAAAGAAATGACCCCGTCGCTTTAGCCGAGGACTCCGCCGCTCTGCCATCTAATACACTTCCAAACTCTATTGTCCTCTCACAATGCACAATAAGTGATAAGACGCCGATGTAACTCTGTATTACAAATCCCATTCGCACCCCCCCACCTTTTCATCTTCTGTCGCTCACTCGTACGGCRGCTTAAAGTGTTCATTTTCTGTGTGGCTTGTTTCGTGTGTTTATGGGAGGCACAGCAATATGCACTCACTGGTTTGGGAGATGACTTGGGTTCTGAGGGCCGCATGTGCAAGTGGGTCATCATCGCCTGAAGACGCTCTCGCTCTTTAGAAAGCTGTTAAGAGAGAAGGAGAGGAGAGTACATTAGGGTCGATTAGAGAGGAGAGGAAGGAAAGAAGGGAYGATAGGGATGGARGGTAAGGGAATAGAGGGAGACTGGGGGGGGAGAGCAGGTCAGCCAAAACAAATCGCATTTCATCTTAATGTCRATAGCAGAATTTAGGTCAGCGAGACTTTGACAGTAACAAGCCAGTTGGGCCTTAAATTAGGTGGTCCTGAGTGTCTGCTCAAAGTCCTGTGGACACTGTTAGGGGGATGGAGCTGAGCCAGCAGCTGCTGAGAGGTGAAGGGGTCTACCAAACAGGGTGCCGGGCGGCCCCGCCTCCCCGCTCCAGTTAGTGGCCCCAGCCGGTGCTTATCATCAATCTAATTCACGGAGAGTGACAGGGACCGGACCGCGCGWAAGGCTGAACACCCCCTCCCTCGCTACGCAGACACACGAGGACAAAACACACAAACACAACACATACACACAGGTGTACACGTATACTGGGCCTCATTACTGGTGACGGCTCTCGTGGTGAAAAGACAAAGAAAGAGATGATGGGGTTCAAGGAACGGGAGGAGAGAAGAAACAGGACAGGCAGCACGAGTGCATCACTGTAATTGGTCACACTGTTCGGATCAAGCTGCAGCAGTTCAGCTTGTGATGATAAAAACAGAACGAAATGAGAAAATAAAGAAGGTGTTTTACTTTTAAAGAAGCCACTTCAAACACTAACTTYCCACAAATTACACTAAGGGGGGGTCAGATGGCAAAAACACTGCACCACAATCACTATTCTGCAAGTTACTGAACACTAAAACACAAACTACAAGTCAAATAATTATTCCAGATGGATTTTATTTATTTAGTGCAAGTCTGCAATTTTGAGMAAACGATCAGATCTGTCTAAAGACAAAACACAACGAGCACAGAACAATGATCCAAATATGTTCTATAGAGCAGTGTTTCCCAAAGTTGGGGTTGGGACCCAAAGTGGGGTCCCGAAACATCAAGGTGGGGTCCTGAAAAGATTTTCTAAATTAATTGCATTTTTGCCTTAGTTGTTACAAAGATAAAAATTTGATAACAAAGATAAAAAGTTTGGGAACCACTGCTGTAGAGCAGTGGTTCCCAAACTTTTTA